AGGTCCAGCTACCCAGGCTGCTTACCTTTCCCTGAATGCAGAATGGTCCCTTTGACTGCAATATTTAATTTCGCCCAAACTGGTCCCCCTGCTCTAAATGCCCTCCCAACCCTTTCCTTTCCACCTAACAAACTCCTATGCATCCCTTGGGACATTGCTGAGATGCCACCTCTCCTGTAAGGCCTTCCCTGATCACCTTGGGCATGGGTATATCTATTGTACACATGTGACAGAATCCAAGGGTAAACACGGATGACCCAGATTTCAAATTAAGGCCTTTCCCCTACATACAAATAAAAAACAACTTTAACACAACCTGTCTCGGAGGTCTATGATAATAAGAAGCATTTCTCTAGGGTCTCTGAGCCCTTGCTCTGTGCCCAGCACTGCCTTGAGCCCCTCACCGGGACTCCCTCATGCTTGCACTGGGTCTGTAATAGAAACGGAGGCTGCAGAAGCGGGAGGACTTGCCCCAGCCACACAAGCCGCCCTGCTCCTACACCCCACTGCAGCGAGGGCCTCGGTGAAGTGAGGTCTGCCACGAGGAACTCGCAGTGAGCATTTCGACCAAGCTAATAAAAGTCTGTGCATGTTTCATACATCGAATTTCAGCACCCGGTCATACTTACACTGGGCTGGCTGGTCTGGAGACCACGTCCCGCCCTTTTGGGGCTGGGAGGTATGTCATATAACTGCTGCTTCTCTGGCTCCTGGGGAAAGACCACAAAGCAGGACAATGTAGGATTTTCCTTCCTGAAGGCCACCCATCGCAAACGCTCCCACACCAGTGTTTTCTCCAAGCAAAACCACAAATTACTGAGGACTTGGGACTCTCGGTCACCGTGTTCTGTGGGGGAGGTTTACGCCCCACAGTGGGTATCTTTTCAACAGTGGACTCTGTGCATTGAAAAGATGCCTCCCAACCGACGAGGGGACAAAGTGTAGCGAGAACGAACTGCGGTTGCCTGAGTTAAGAACGGTAACTCATCGCCTTCCGTTCCCCGGCCTTCAGACTGAAAGACCGAGAATAAACGAGGCTGGGGCCTCACATGTCCTCTGTCTTTCTTCTGTTTGTCCCAGTAGAAATTTTCCTGGGCTTGTTACTCACACATTCACCCTGCCAGTACTTAGGGAGCACCTGCTAACTATAGCCACTAAGCCAAATGACATGTATACACCCAGCACTGAGCACAAGACACGGCAGCTGTCTAGATAATGCACATTTTTGTGCAGCAATTAGAAAAAATAGATATTAGGCTGTGAAAAACGGTCCCGTGCTCCAGAGCGAGCTGAGAGAGCACCAAGACAGGCTTTGCAAAGATGCAGAGAAAAAGTTAGGGTTTGCAGAGGGCCCCACTCAGGCCGAAACAAGAGTCTTTGGGGGCCCTGGCCGGGTGGCTCAGGTGGCTGGAGTGTCGTCCTGGACACCAAACGGTTGCAGGTTTGATCCTCAGTCGGGGTGTGTACAGGAGGCAACTGATCAATGAGCTTCTCTCACATCGATGTGTCTCCCTCTCTCCCTCCCTCTCTCTCTAAAAATCAATAAAAACATATCCTCAGGTGAGGGTTAAAAAAAAAAGCACCTTTGGGGCTTGAGCGGGGCAGCAGGTGTGGTTAAAACTCCAGGTGATTCTGTCCACATTGAGGGAACAGGGACGGGCGCAGCCACAGGGGAGCTTGGATGGGCTAAGAACTGAGTGAAGTTGTTCTTTGAGTACAGGAAGCATGCCTCACAGATTTGATGTGCCAGTTACTTACAAATAAGTAAAAAAAAAAAAAAAATCACCTGAAATTCCATCCCCCAGAGGCGACCAGTGTTAAGATAAGCAATGATGATGCTAAGACTGTGATGTACAGGGTGGGGCTAAAGTTGGGTTGCAGCTGTTTGTATGGAAAATTATACAATCATTAACAAAGGGTAACACAAGACTAAATGCTTCTTGTCCTCATGACTGTAAACCTACTTTTACCCCACCCTGTATATCCTGCAAAATATTATCCTTAAAAAGGCATATATGTCTATGCGTACATGTGTGTGTGCATAGATATAAAGTATCTACTACAAATGAAGTTAAAACTTTAAAAATATTCAGCATTCAAATAGTCATAAAGTTCTCCTGTGCAGGCCTGAGCTCCCTGGGCGCGAAGCTGGCTTCTGAGTGGTGACATGAACTTTGGAGCCAGGAGTGGACAGATGCTCCAGAAGTCATCCCTGTGACACCAAGAATCCCACACTCTGGGTGGAGAGGCCCCCTGGGGAGCGGGGCCAGGGTCAGGGCTCACCTTCAGGGCTGGGCGGCCGCGGCCCTGGACTGGCACGTCGTACACAGCTGGCGACGGGGCCTGAGCAGGTCTGGGAATCGGGAAGACAGCCTTGCGGGGAAAAGGAACGGAGGGAAAGGAACGGTCACCGGGCGTATCCCGGCACACACGCTCTCTCCCACCTAGAGCTCCCCCGGTGCTGTTCTGCTGACCGACCGCCACCACCCCGGCCCCCGCCCTGTGGCATTTACGCATCCGCGTCCGTGGGTCACACGTGCTGCAGCAACACCTACAGGAGCAAAGGGACTTTCCTGTGTGTGGATTTCTGGTGGGAGGAAGCCAGCTCAGAAGTGCCCAGTGCGTCTTGGGAAACGTAGGTTTGAGATGGCAATCAATTAAGGAACACATTCGAGAAGCATGGTTTCGAAAGGGTTAGGGGGACGGGGGGGGAACTCCAGTTCAGGAACTAGTGGGTAAGAGAGCAATTTCATCAGGAGATCAGGACCCTTTTCACTTGAAACACTAAAGATTCCCTTCTCTGAATTTAAACCAAAATCAGATAGGTTCTTTATTTGGTGATTTAAAAAAAAAAGTAAGGCCAGAGAGTTGCATTAAGGAAGTTAGAACAAAAAGTAAAACAAAGCCCAAGACCATGGTCACGCAGACGGGAAGTGACCAGGAGGAGGTGTGGGGGGGCTCCTGGGGTCAGCTTTGTTCTATTGCTTTTTGGGGGGTTTTGTTTTTGTTTTGTTTTTTAGCTTTGTTCTATTTCTTGATCTGAATCCTAGTAACTGAGCTGTATCCTTAGGATTTGTAGGTTAAACTTTAATAAAAAAAATTAACGCAGAGTAGACAGTGTTGCCAGAGCCAGGTAAACGAAGGTCAAGGGGGTGCCGAGGGCTCTGCCCCTGGGCATTCCCAGTCGGGGGATGCAGACAGACATGCAGACACAAGGAAGCTTGAATCTCTGGTCTTCATGAGCCCTGTGACCTTGGCTGTCCCCTTTCCCCTCCCTAGGAATCAGTTTCCTTGTGTGTAAAGTGAAGGGCTGTCTAACCTAAGGGTCCACAGAGGTCCCTTCCAGCCATCGAGACGTCTGATGCTGACACATCGGCTCCTCTGTTGGCACAATGTGTAAAAATGACATGTCTCCACCATCTCAGTTTTTAATTTTTGGCCAACCTTAGTCGAGAGATGGGAGTGAAATGGATCTCTGGGCCGTGTTCCAAGCCCATTGGAAAACAGCTCAAAGCTAGTGGATTCACCCCGTTCTAGCAACACCCACTTCTGCTCAGGGTGTTTCTGGGCAGCCCCAGACAGGGCTAACCACCGGATTACACAAGAGGGGAGATGGCGGCCTGCTCTGCAGATTGGAAGACTCCTCACTGTTTATCTGTTCCATGTCTTCGGTTCCTTCCTTCTTGTGTAGAAGAAGCGGTAAAATTACTTAGAAACAGCACAACTGGAGGTGACCTCAGAAATGATAGGGTCCACAGCTCTCGTGACACAGAGGAAAAAGAAAGCAGGGAGGGGAGCTGGGAGGGTTGTGACCGCCTAGCGTGATCGTGGCTGCCCAGAAGCCAAGGGACCCAGGACTCCTGATTCCTCGCCACAGATGGTGCTCCAAGACCCCCGAGCACAGAGAAGGCAATAAAAAGGGGTGAGGGTGGGGGAGCAAAAATGTAGACATGGCAGCCAGAGAGGGAACCTCAGCAGGGATAGAAGGTAGGAAAGTTCCCCAGGGGTTTTACTGGGTCCACCTCAGAAAGCTGACCACAGTGGCGGCGAGCCCTGGTCTGTGAATCCCCAGCAGTGGCTGTGGTTCCCACTTGACTGCCGCAGGCCACACGGGCCAGGCTTGACCTCAGCCACACTTCACCTAAGGACAAATCTCACGGCTAACGTCCTGGCCCTTCTCTGTAGACAGTAAACCCAGCCTCCGTTTTACACCAGGTGTCAGTCTAGCCCTTGAAGTCATGGTTAGGAAGCCTTGTGTTGTAACTGGTCGCTCCGTCCGTTCAACGCGTTTAGTGAGCAGCACGTCGGGTGTTAGGGATACGTGGTGCACTGTGGACAGTCCCCTCTATTTTCCTTTTAGGAAGGGGTGAAATGGCGTTCGTTGTTTTGTTTTCTTTCGTCACTTTGAAAAGAAACTCAAAATAACGTCAGCCAAGGCCCCTTGTTTTTCCTGGAGGCACCACCAGGGAGGCCCTGCTCCAACCGAGCTGCTCAGTGGGCAGCTGGGCACGCCGGGCTGAGCTTCGGGCCGGCTGTTCCAGAAAAGCGACCTGGGGTCCACCCCAGGGGCCGCTGCAGGGGGCACAGCCAGCTTCCTTCTGGTGTTTGCAGCCAGTGCCCTGGGACAGCTGCCTGGTTCTCTGCCTGGCAGCCCAGGGAGTTAGAAAATCTGCAGTATTCAGTCTTCTAAGGCATCAACACCTTCCTGTTGGAAGGTGGTGTTGGAAGCTGGTGTGGAGGCGGCCTCGGTCATAAGCATGATGTTCCTGGGCCCCCAGGACCTCACCGGGGAGCGGGCGTTCCAGGACACAGGCCTCATCGGGGCCTCTGCCCAGAGCTGTGGCCAGGTGGAACGTGTCATTGGAGCTAAAAGCAAAGTGCGCAGTGGAGGGAAATGCCCGCGGTGACCGAGGACCTTGACAATCTGTCCTGCGTCCCTGACACTTCATTATTCTCTTTCTCCTGTCTTGTTTTAATTCCTTTCCTTCTAAAAAATGTTTTTTATTCTGCATTTACTGAGTGCTTCTTTGTCTCTTTTAAAAAAATTTCTAGTTTTAAAAACTGCAGAGGTAATGCAACTTCTATGCTATAACACACGTCAATTCCTTTCATTTGGAAGTATGCTCACCTGCTTTGGAAAGCTTAGCATCTTTTCACAGACAATTCTGGCTCTGGCAGGTGGGTCAGGGAATTCGTAGACTTGGACTGTGGGTGCCGGGGGTCCCTCCACCCAGCTCTTCATTGGCTCATACACGGGGCCTGGAGACTGGGGGCCGAGCAGGGTGGGCACCTGGTAGGTCTCCTCCAAGTCAGTGAGCGCTTCTTCCAGGCCTCTCAAGAAAGGGAGACAGGGCCTGTCTGCGGGGCCCTCCTCGAGGATTTGGAGGCGGTTGGCAGGGGCCAGGCCTTGCCTCCCATGGAGTAAGCACCTCCACCAGCCCTCACTTTCCGGCACATTTTGCTCCAGAATGGTCACGATGTCTCCTTTGCAGAAAGCCAGCTCATCAGAGCAGTCAGGGTAGTTGTCATAAAGTGCCTTGGCCAAGAGTGCCTGGGGTGGGAGGGGGGAAAGAAGTCATTGTTATTACCACTGCCAACGAGCCCTGTACCAACGCTGCTCACTCAGGCACGCAGGGCACTTCACAGCTGCGGCCGCATCTCCCTTCCTCGTTCCCAGAGGCTCGCGGCCCTGCTCTTTGCCTGATTCATTCCTACCCATCCGCGGGGTCTCAGGTGACATGCCACATTCTCAGGGAAGTCTTACCTGCACCCTGAGACCAGGTCCAATCTCCCTGATATGCGCTCATGGCCCTGACTTAGTTTGTGGTAACTATGCCCCATGAGGTTATATCGTCGAGTGACTTCCTAGCTGTGTACCCTTGAGCACACTGGCCACTCAGTTTCCTTGTCTGTAAAATGCGAATAATAGTAATTTCTTACCTCATGGTGTTATTGTGAGAATTAAACGGACAATATGTATATAAAGCTCATTGAAGTGCAAGCACCCTGGCACTCAGTGAGTGTTCAGTAAAGCTGGACTGTTACTGTCATAATTATGATATAGCTCTTTGTCTGGTTCTTGCTATTTTTCCCTGAATTGGACTGGAAGTCTCGTGTCTGCTGGGACCATATCTCGCTTATTTGCTGCTCAGTCCCCAGAGTCAAGCATGGGCCCAGGTGCATAGGAGATGCTATAAAATATCTTCACTAATTCATGAATGATGAAATAAAGACACAGGGGGTTAGTGACTTGTCTGTGGTGACACAGCCAGGATCAAACCCCAGTCTGTTTCCCTAGTTCTCAGACAGGTATTCTTTCCGTAAGCCAGATGCTTCTCCAAAAAAAATAAAAAATCACTTTAGAACTTTCTGCTGTAATTAAATGAAGGCAGTTTGTTTCTGTGAGTTTAACACAATCGCCCCCCGTATGATATCAATGCATGTCCATTACAGGAGAATTATGAAATATAGATCCCAGTGCACAGTAGGCGCTCACTGGCTACCTGGGGAGCTGATGGCTGGATAAGGGGGAGTCATGTGATGCCCCAAAGTCAGGTCTTTGGGAGGGAAAGTGACACAGGCACCCAGATGACAGCTCTTAATTCTCTTGAGAGGAGGGGAAGCGGGAAGCTCTCTGTGAGGGCTTTTAGTGAGAATGACCACCGAGACATCCAGAAGGTGGACCTCAGGGCCTGGCTGGTCTGCACACCCAGTTCCTATCCCTTGAATGTGCTGGGAGCAGGTTTCAGGTGAATGTGGGGGCTCAGCCTGGAGAATCCAGGGGAGATCAAGCATTTAGAGGGAACAGGGTTTAGAATCTTATCAAGAGTGTTGGTTAAAGGTTAAGACTTAGTGACATTACATTCTACTTCATAAGTTTTTTCCAGTTAAAGAGCCAAATACTTTCTGTTCGGTAGGAAAAGATAACCCAGAAGATTATGGTTTATTACCTTGTCAGACTTTAACCAGATTGGTACCTAGCCCTTTATTAAACTGCCTACAAATACCGAGATTCTCAAATGCTCTCTGACCTGGTTTTCACATTTGCCTGGTTCCCTCATTAAATGAATCAATTTATCAAAATCTTTGATATGAGTTCATTTTCTATTTGCATGAGAGTCATGATTTTACCTTTTGGAAAACTGTACATTGTCCACACTGGGAAGAAAAGGGAACATAAAAACATAGTTTTTGACCAACCATCACAGCTGCCATGAAATATATTTCAAAAGCCAGCACATGTCTAGAAATAAGGCCGCGTGTGTTCAGGTGGAGCAGCTGCTGTGACATGGCAGCCGTGTGGAAGGCCCAGGTCGGCTCCAGCTTAGCTGGTGGGTTTGCCTATTGTGAAAGGCAGGGCGCTTTCCCAGAGAACAATGGGCTGGTATGGTCATCCACCCGGCGGGCACCCACAGCTGTCTAAGATGGCCAGGCTTACTCTGCAGACACGGTAGACTTGGCACTTTCAGCCTGCTGTCTCAAGAGCAGCAGCCCACATCTTAAACTCCCAGCAAAGGAAAACTGGAAATATGTTGCTATAACATGATCCCCCGCAATATGGTATTTTGTTATAATTGGCAGGGGCTGTCACTGGACACCTCATGCAATTAACTTCTCAAAGTTTTAATAACAAAGACCATCAAAGTTTATTTTACAAAGAAAAGAATTAAACACACCTGAGAAGTCCTGGGGCGTTACCTATAAAGAGGAGATAACAGTGGACTTGATTGAGTGGGGACCTATTCTGTGTTGGGTGCATGGAAGTCATTATATCCTTTAATTCCCAGAAGCCTTGGGGGTAGGTTTTCTTATTGCCATTTTATGGATGAAGAAACTGAGGGTCAGAGAGAGCAAATGAACTACCCAAGGTCACTTGGACTCTGCTCCCCTCACATCCATTACTGCATCCATTCCCTTATAATCCATTCTCCATTCTCCAGACACCAGGCAGAATGATATTTTATACACATATATCTGATTATGTTGACCTCTTGTTTAAAAACCTCCAGTTGCTTAGAACTGCGCTTAGAACAAAACCTAAATTCCCCACTTGATCGCCCTGCCTGATTGGCCTCCTGGCCCACTACTGTTAGTTTCCCTCCAGCCACACTGTTTTCTTACTTACACACTAAGTAAGCTTGCGTCCACCTCAGGACCTTTGTTCTTGCTACTCCTGAGGGAACACGTTTCCTTCAGATCTGCATGACTGGGCCCTCCTCCCCCGGGAGATCCGAAGAGGTGCCCCCCGACCATCCCCTAAGGCTACACTCCTCCTCCCCACCCACTCAGGACTCCGAGATGATAATCCTTTAGGAGTGTGGGGGGTGGGGCACGCCAGCCTTGCACGCTCATGGAGGAACACGAAACGGAGCAGCAAACATTTACCTCGCACCTCTGTCTCTGGCACTGCGCAAACCACAAGCCTCGGCCAAGGAGTCTCGTAACAACTGCAGTTGTCACTGAGGCCACTCACAAGGTATTTTTCAATAGGGTGTTAATTTGGAAATGTTTTTGTAAATATTTAAGAGATGGGAAAGGACATATATTTCTATTCTTATTCCCTGTGGGCCCACAGATGATTCTGGGTACCATGGAAGAAAGCTTCTTAGCCAAGTTCCAAAAAGGGCATTTCCCTCAAATGCCCACCTTCATACGACAGCTGGCAGAGGAGAAAGGGAGACGAAAAAGCATTTGGGAGGAAGGAGGGGAAGGAGCTTAGGGAGACAAGGCAAGGAAGGCGAGGTTCCTGCTCTCATGGTGGTGATCGCCTCTCTGGGGAGACCCTCCTGCAGCCGGGAGATGCAACATGCTCAGCTACATTGAATCAGCAATGAGCCCCGGGAGTAAAAAGTTATAATTGGAGAATTCTGGGACGCCATTCACTCATGCATTCATTCATTCATTCATTCACTCATTCATTCATTCATTCACTCACGCATCCACTCACTCATCAGGACGGTGCCGAGCATCTCTACGCACCCGCTGCGGTGCTGGAGACATGGTGAACACAGCAGTTCCCGCTCTCACACCACCGCCCATCCTAGCGGATGGCACCAACTCCGATAAAAAATGCATGCGGCTGACAAGTCAGAAATAGCACACGCTGTGGCTGTTTCAAATCCTCTGCCATCTGGGAACTGGAAACCCCTTAAGTTCAAGGCCTCCCCCGGATGTTGCCGCTTCTGCGTTGAGACCAGTGGACTATCTCTCGTGTGTCTTTCTTTGCAGGGCGAGGGGCCCGGACTCGGCACCCCAGGGGCCAATGTGGGGAGAAAGTGCTTTGATCATCTTAAGGGCAGCCTTCCCCCCCTGGAATGTACTTGGAAGCATTTCACATTATGCAGATATATAGATAGACTTGGAAAGATCAAGGCAGACAGAATGCTGCAAACTGTTGGCTTTGTGAATGTTTATTTCCCACCGTTTTTTAAAAGCTCATTATGTTTTAAAAGAAAGAAAAGTTTCCAAGAACGTAAGAAAAATTCCCTCACCACCCCCATTTTCCCACCCACATTTTCCAAAAAGGGGAAGAAAGACAGAGGAAGGGCAGCCCTGAGGAAGAAACAGAGTATCTACTTTGTGCGAGAGATTTCCACGGGTGCAGTGTTCTTGAAGTAACCTTGGGAAGGTGGAGAGAGCGGTGGAAACGTGTTAAGGAGTCCCAGCAAGACCTGGGAAGGATCCCCATTGCAAGCCCCACACGACATCGAAGACTTCTTACCCACCATGTGTGTCAGCTATATAAATTAATCTAAGGGAAACAACATCCTGTCTAATCTTTTGGATGCATATTGAGTCAGGTGCTGTGGTAGTTTTGTTGGTGACTGTTTAGCCAATGCCTTGTTAATAATGAGAGCTCACAGTTTAAACTCAGCCAGGGGCTGCAGTAACTAGCACTGATCATCTCACTTGAGGTTCACTATACCATGAAGCAGGTACTGTTACTACTCTCCTATTTTAGAGATGAGAAAGCTAGGCACAGAGAGGGTGAGTAAGTACCCTGAGGCTGCTCAGAGAGCAAGGGACAGAACCGAGATCGGAACATGGGCAGTTTTGACTCCAGGGTCAGCCCTTTTAGCCTACAAATCATAGCATTTAGTATATACTCCACCTTGAGAAGGCAATGGATGAGTGAATGACAAAGTGTGCTGTTGGAGAGATGGATGGGAAACAGATAAAAACATTGTTAGCTCAGTTGGTTCATTGTGTTTACTTACCAGAATTAGATTCTGCACTGAGAATTCAGGAAATAACTTAAATGCAATTACTGGTAAATAATGATATATTTATATAATGGAATACTATACAGTCATGAAAAAGAACAAGGTAGGGTCTATATGAACTGACATAGAACAATCTAAAAGAGTATTGAGATTTTTAAAAAGCAAGTTGAGAAACTGTGCATATAGCATGCATTCATTTTTGCTTTTATGAGCAGTGTCTTCCTGGAAGATGTACAGAAGTCACTGGGGCTCCCCTCTGGATGGGGAACTGGGGCCCAGGACACTAGAGATTTGGGATTGAAGGAAAACATGCTTTCAGTCTGTGTTC